GTGATAAACCTATGAGAGCTGGTGAGTTACTGAGAGAGAAGGCCTAGGACAGACTTTTGGGGACCACTCATAGTTAGGGGGCATGATAAGGAAAATGAGTTAGCAAAGGAGATTTAAGAAGGAGCAGAGAGGTAGGAGAAGAACCAGGAGAGAGCAGTGTCACAGAACCCTAGAAGGAAGAGAGTATTCCAAGAGAGAAAAGGGTGATCAGTAGTGTCCATTGCAGCAGATCGTTGAGAAGGATGAGGACTAAGAAAAGACTATCACATTTGCCAATAAGAGATCATTGGTGACTAAAGAGAGGAGTTGCAGTTGAATGAAGCCATATTGAAAAGGATTGAGGAGGGAGTGAAAAGAGAGGAAGTATAGACAGCCTTTTCGAGGATTTGCAGTGTAAAGGGAGGAAAGATAGAGTATGATAGCTTGTGGAGGATGGCAGAGTCTAGTCAAAGTTTTTTTTTAAGGATGAAGGGGAGATTTCATTATGTCTGAAAGTAGTAGGAAAGGACCCAGTAGATAGGGAGGAGTTGAAGATAGGGGCAGGGTTGATGATTGAGAATGCAATGTGCTTTGAGAAAGTGGGAGGGGATGGGATCAATATGTTGGCCTTGGCAAGTAGGGCCAGTGCACTATCAGAGACTGGGGGAAAGGAGAAAGAGTGGTGGATGATGTTCAAAGGTTTTTGAGATGAAGAAAATGGGAAGAAGATAATATACTGTAACCATACATATACTGTAACCAGTATGCATGTCATGCTTTGCTGCTTCCATGGATCTGTGGCCTCATTGATGTGGGTACATATCAAAGCATCCTTGTCTTCAGATACAGATGATCTTCCTTTCCACTAATCAGCTGACTGGATGAGAATGCTTATTTTGCATTTGTCTCATCCCAGGCTCATTCTCAGCTATTAGGATTCACCTTGATAGTTGGTTTTGGTGCTCTACCCATATTGCTAAGAAATCAGTTCCAATCTTTCTAACTTCTAAGGCTGTTAATATCATAGATTATACGTGGGAAGGAAAGGCTAGCCAGTCCAACTCCCTTATTTTAGAGATGAGGAAATTGAGTTTCAGAGAACTTAAGTGATTTACTTATATAAGGTTAAGGTCATATAAGTAATAAGTAGCAGAGTCAGGATTTGAAGTTGTGTTCTGACTCCAAAGCCAGTGCTCTTTCCATTGAACCAAATACAACATGGTTTCCATCATCTTAAATCAGGAAAATTCAAGGTGACACATGATCCCCCAAAGTTAACCAGCAGCACCCCTTTATATACTTTTTCCCCTTCTTTCTGTATTTTGTCCCATTCCTTGATGAAAGTCCTAAAAAAAAAGTTGTGGGGGAAGGGAAGATGGGAAAGGGGAGAAAAAAAAAAGTAAGGAAAAAGTTACTTCAGAAGAGATTATTAAGGTAGCCAGATCATTCATATGACTATTCTCCTTAGGCATACGGGTCAGTAGTTATCAGTATGTTCTAAGTCACCTTTTTTTTGGTGGTAATAAGGTCTGAGATACCTTTGGTATCTTCCCCTTTTTCAGATACCTTGAGAATGGATACCTCATCACCCACAAACTTGTGTCGCCTCCAGCACGGACCACCTTTATGTGTCCTTGGATGAGTCCAGCTTCTTTTTCCATCTTTGTTTTCTTCAGTGCCATTTCCACTTCCTCAGCAAGCACATCCAGAACTGTGATGTTAGAGTCCAAATGTGGTGGCTCCACTATCCTTGATGGTGAAAAGAATTTGTTATATAGATCTTTATAGATCTTTTCCATTTTTCATGCTGCTTGTCCTTTCAGCTTCATCTCTAAGTGCCCTTGGGATGACCTGGCTTAACTGGGTCTCTGAACAAGCTTTCTGTAAACTTGTTTTTCTTTCCATTGTTTCCTACTGTTTTGTGGAGTGATATTGCTCAAAATCTTCCACTGTCCTCTTCAGTGCGACCTTATAAGGTTAGAGTCTGAGCCAGTATTGCTGTTGGCTGCCATTACTCTCTGTTTGGCAAAGAGATCAAGTGGTTTGCTGGCTGAGGCAGCATCTGGGTTCTTTTGGTCTCCTTATTATGGCAATTGATTTACATCGGTCCAATTTCCTTTGGAAATGGTTATATCTGTTAATGTTTGTCTTTTGTTTTCTTTTTTTCAGTATCAAACAACTTGTTTACACAGGTCAGGTTGAAGTTGCCTCAAATACACACAATATCTTCTTATATATGATTTGACCTTACACAAGACAATTATTTCAAAATGAATCCAAAAGATTCAAAATTACTTCAAACCAGTTATTTCCCATCAGGATATAATCAGTTTCCTTTCTTAAAATTGTTTATATGATACTCACCACCTGACTCTTTAAATTATTTGTGATATTTACGTATGTAATTTCTGTATAGTCTGTAAACCCTTAGCCCTCTCGTTTTGTAATTAAATATTTTTTAGTACATGTTTCACTGTCTTCCCCTATTCCTTCTTTTGCATTGAAGTCAACAAGTGTATGTTGATTTAACGTGGAGCTTCTCGTTGAGGTTTTCCTAGGATTTGTCTACCTCCTACTCTGAAACAGATATTGGCACATACGCTACAATTTTTCTTCCCGGTTGTCTTTTTTTCATATCTTCATCATGACTATTACATGGTCGTGACCTTGTGTGAAGGTATTTCTTGTTGCCTTGGGTGACACAATAAAGCAAATTCTGCCAGCCCATTTGCCTCTCCAAGGGAAGAATCTGTGTACCAGTCTTCCATTTAACTACAACTTCCTTTTGTTTTTTGTTATCATTTCTATGGTCAGCTAGGTGGCACAGTGGATAAAGCCATGGGCCTGAAGTCAGGAAGACCTGAGTTCAGATCCAGCCTCAGACACTGCTAGTTCTGTGACCCTGGGCAAGTCACTTAACTCTGCCTCAGTTTCCTCATCTGTATAATGAGCTGGATAAGGAAATGGCAAACCACTCCAGTATCTTTGCCAAGAAAACCCCAAAAAGGGGTCACAGAGTCAGACATGACTGAAACAACTAAATATTATTTCTGTATAGCAAGAACGTGAAGATTGAGATAATTAGTACCTCCAAAATTATGTCTCCTGGTTGGTCACTATACAAGGATTTCACATTCAGAATGCCAACTGTGCATCTTAGAACTCTGGCTCTTTTTCAATCACCCTGCAGGGTGAGTGCAGGATCTGGACAACGGACTGTTTTATGTTTTTGTTAATTTCATAGTTGTCACTGCCAAAAAATTCATCATCAAGTGGACGCCCTACTTGTAATGAGTCTCTCCCTACTCAGCTATGCTTATCCTTAGAAATCAGGCATAGTCCTCTGCTGAAACCATACTCAAATCCTTTCCAAAGTGGCAGAACCTGCTGTTGTTGCAGACTGCTGATACAGTCTATGAGAACTCAGGGTTGCCTTTGTGCTTTGATGAAACATTAGAGTATGACTCTCTGGATCTGTATATATCACAGATCAGATTGTGTTTTCATTTATTTTTGCTGTTATCAAATCCTGTTCATGTATACTTGGGCTTCTTTTGTCATGTCGTTTGGTTGTCTGTTAATTGCTTCCAAAAACTAAAGGAAACATTGACATCCAGAAATATTTGGCAGTGAAAGGAAGCAGGTAAAGGAAATAGAACCATAGTTATAAGAGGAAGGAAATTGAAGCAAAGATTATTTTAAAGTCTAGGGGACCTCTGAATACACGGAGTTAAAAAGCTTAGTGAGAGAAAGGAAGGAATGAAAATAAGATTCCTCAGGAGTGAAGGAAAAAAATGAGCTCTAGGGTGCTGGTGGGATGATTTGCTTAAGAGAGAGTAACATCTTCTTTCCCCAGATTAGAGTTAAGTTGTAGAGATGAGGGAAAATGTGGGAATTTGCACTAGATAGTAATAAGCTTTCCAGTAAAATGTATTTCAGATTTATAGATCAGGGCTTGAACCTGGAGAATTGTGATAAATGGCCTTTTATAATAAAGTATTTTTGATGTAAGCATAGTACTTTATCATCTGAAACTTTGCCCTAAATCCATTTGCTCCATTTAAACAAGCCACTGTCTAGCTATACAGATGTTATAGGGAGCAGCAAGAAATTAGTAAAAAGATTATTGAGCTTGGACCAATAATTGAAATGGTACAGTATTTATTTGTCATGATCCATTTCTTCATGATTATTCATTTTTCTATAGTTATACCGCATTACCTAAGAAGAGAGAAAGCAAATGTTAGGTTTGGCACATAGTCACAGTGGAAAGTCATATGGGTAAGAGGGTTGGGATAGTAGGGAGGGCAGTATTAAGATGACTAACTGTGTAGTCCAGCCTGAGTAGAGATTCTAGCATAGCCTTGAGACAGCTTTAGTTGAACCAATCAATGATTGGAATGGGAGAAATGACAGATAAGAAAGGTGGTGCATTAAAGTATTTGTTTTTATTGAATAAGATTTTCTATCATTTTTTAAAAAATTAAAATCAGGTTTGTTTGTTTTTTTTTTAAGGAGAGAAAACAAAAACAAAAGTTAACTTTATTTTTATTTTATATGGCACCCTTGTTTATTTTTGCCTATAATTTGTTGTCCTCAGCGTGCAAAAGAAAGTTCCCTCTTCCTGTTGTATAACGTGAAATAATAAAGGGTATCACAATTAACTGTCACAGGTGTATCACAGGTATATACTCTGGCATTAAAGAATCCTTCTCTTCTTTGAAAGCTTAGCTTGGTCACCTTCCCTAATCCCCGAATTGAAAGTATTCTCTTTCCTCAAATGTGCCTAGAGAATTTTGTTTTGATCTCTTCTTTCCTTCCTACCTTGTCATACATGTCATATCTTTGCAGTTCTCTCCCACACCCAGGTAAATGGTGTGAGTTCCTTGAGGTTAGGGACTATTTTTTTTTATCTTTGTAGCATATCTTGTACATATGCTTAATACATGTTTGTTGAATCATTCAGTTTGTTTTTCTTTTAGAGAAGTACTTCTTGAAATTTTCCTAATTTATCTCTGTAGCACTGGACTTCTTGGAGCAAATTTTGACTTTTAGTCCCATGGATCGATTGACAGCAGAAGAAGCTCTGTCCCATCCTTATATGAGCATTTATTCCTTTCCAATGGATGAACCAATTTCAAGCCATCCTTTTCACATTGAAGATGAAGTTGATGATATTTTGCTCATGGATGAAACTCATAGTCACATTTATAATTGGGAGAGGTAAAATTGATTTTATATTAAACTACTTAATAATTGACTTTTATTTATATGAACCACAACATGATGACATTTTTATTAATGAGTTTTTTGTATGATATATCAACGCAAAAGTTGTGTGAGTAAAGGTACCATGTTTTTATCTGTGTTTCTTCTTAATTTTACCCTCCTAGTAAATTATTTCTCTTTAAGTATACCATTTAAAAATGTCTATGTGTGTATGTGTGTGTGTATGCCACTTATATACCATAATATACCATTTATAATGTTTACTAAAATATTTTTCAAAAACAACCTTTTAGAATGAAAATTAAATGGTTGCTACTTTCTTAAAAGTATTTTTTCATGCTTTGTTAACAGTCCTTTGAATGGTTTTGTTGCCCTTTTAAAGTGAAGAATTGGGGAGTGAGGGGTGGCAGGGTGTGGGGAGACAACATAGGGATGCAAATAGTTTAAAGATTCCACAATACAGCATTGTTGCTTTTAGGTGAACAAGACAAACCATCTGCCTTATAGCATAATCATTAGGCAGTTATTATATATGTATATTATATATATGTAATTATGTTTTAGGGGATGAATTATTTTTTCTTGTGGCGTATAGATTAATTTGATAGTAGAATTCTATATATCTAGAAATTTTTTTCTTAACTGCTTTGCTCATATTTTTGATCCCATTTAAATTTATTATTAGGGGAATTTTAAGACTAATGGAAATGAAAGATTATAGAATCCCCTTTAAAAAATTTTTGTATTTGTGGCATGGTCATGGCATGGTCCTGCCTAAAGAGGGGAACAGTGGCCAAAAAACCTTTAAAGTTCCTTCCAGCCATCTGATTTTTATTATATTTTTCCCCACTCATTAAGAATGAAAATATACTAATATGTTGAAGTTATATCATTTTTTAAAAACATTATTGGGGTTTTTTTTTTCAGTATTATGTCACTAAGTTTATAGGGTTCTCTTTCTAGCTCTGCCATTAACTATGTGACTTTGGGCAAATGTCTTAACTTTCTTGAGTCCCATTTTCCCTTTCTATAGAATGATAGAATTATACTGAAATATCTTTTTTTTTTTTTTTTTTTTTTTTTTTGAGGAAATTGGGGTTAAGTGACTTGCCCAGGGTCACCCAGCTAGTAAGTGTCATGTGTCTGAGGCTGCATTTGAACTCAAGTCCTCCTGACTCCAGGGCCAGTGCTCTATCTACTGTGCCACCTAGCTGCCCCGTACTAAAATATCTTCTGACTATATCTTACATGGTACCATTTGTGATGAGCAACATACAAATTAATAAAATTATTGACCTGAATTTGACGTACATTCTTCATCTAGTAGTTTTTGTGGGTTGAGAACAAAGAGGAATTAGTTAAGGAGAGCCTATCTGGAAATAATGACTAGTGAATGATATTACTAAAAAATGCAAATCTCCAAGCCTCAGTTTAAACTATACATTCATTTGACATGTATTGTCTTGTATTTATTTCTACATGTCAGGTCTTACCTTCCTAACTATATTGTAAATTCCTAGAGGACAGAAAATCCTGATTTTTGTATCTTTTAGAGAGCCTAAAATGGGATTTTTAAAAATATATATAGTATGTATTCAAATATTTAATGATAATGATCTTTAGATATAGGCTGACTGTGACATTAATTTATTTCAGGTACCATGATTGTCAGTTTTCAGACCATGACTGGCCTATACACAATAATTTTGATATTGAAGAAGTTCAGCGTGACCCAAGGGCTCTTTCTGATGTCACTGATGAAGAGGAAGTACAAGTGGATCCTCGAAAATATTTGGATGGAGATCGTGAAAAGTATCTGAAGGATCCTGCCTTTGATACCCATTTCTCTACTGAGCCTTGTTGGCAGTATCCAGATCATCATGAAAATAAGTATTGTGATCTGGAATGCAGCCACACTTGTAACTACAAAATGAGGTCGTCATCATATCTAGATAACTTAGTTTGGAGAGAGAGTGAAGTTAACCATTACTATGAACCCAAACTTATTATAGATCTTTCTAATTGGAAAGAACAGAGCAAAGAGAAATCTGATAAGAAAGGCAAGTCAAAGTGTGAAAGGAATGGACTGGTTAAAGCTCAAATAGCTCTTGAGGAAGCATCACAACAGCTGGTGGAAAAGGAAAGGGAGAAGAACCAAGGGTTTGACTTTGATTCCTTTATTGCAGGAACTATTCAACTTAGTTCACAACATGCGTCTTCTGACGTTGTTGATAAATTAAATGACTTGAATAGCTCAGTGTCCCAACTAGAATTGAAAAGTTTGATATCAAAGTCAGTAAGCCGGGAAAAACAGGAAAAGGGAATGGCAAATTTGGCTCAGTTAGAAGCTTTGTACCAGTCTTCTTGGGATGGCCAGTTTGTAAGTGGTGGGGAGGAATGTTTTCTCATAGATCAGTTTTGTGGTGAAGTGAGAAAGGATGAACAAATTGAGAAGGAAAACACTTATACCAGTTACTTGGACAAGTTTTTTAGCAGGAAGGAAGATACTGAAATGCTAGAAACTGAGCCAGTAGAGGATGGCAAGTTTGGAGAAAGAGAAAGTGAGGAGGGTTTTCTTAACAATAGTGGGGAGTTCCTCTTTAACAAGCAGCTTGAGTCTATAGGCATCCCACAGTTTCATAGTCCAGTTGGTTCACCACTTAAATCAATACAGGCCACATTAACACCTTCTGCTATGAAATCTTCCCCCCAGATTCCCCATAAAACATACAGCAGCATTCTGAAACATCTGAACTAAAACACTCAGCAGACAGTTCTTTTTGTATTCATGAAATGTGTTTTGTCTTTTTTATTACTAGTATAAGTCATTTTTTTACTTGAATCAGATGGTGTCATTTTAGTATGGATTTCATTAGTTCTTGGTTTTTAAAATCCAGAATTACTTTCTATACATGAAATAGTTTTCATTTTAAACTGGCATGTCGTTTGCACACAAAATTAAAGAATAGAGCAAAATAATGCAATGCAGGAGGAGACAAAAGAAATGCACTAAGCCAAGTAAAAACATTCTCTCAGTAAAACGGTTATCTGTTTTACAGGAAAAAAAAATCTTGCCTTGAAATTTACACAGTGAGACTGTACATAATTGCATGAAAATATCTATTTTTTTCCTAAAACATTTTTCATTCATGAGTATTTTCAAGTTTTTCATACTGTACACATTTCTTAAAACACATGATACCAGCAGCAACTGAAAATGAATGCCGAATTTGGTACACATGTGTTATCTACCTCAAGGTAACAGAAGTATGTGGCAAAACATGTACCACCCATAGTGCTTCACAATATGCACTTCTATTTAGCCAGCGTTATTATAGTAACTTCTTAATAAGAATCATTCACTGTTTATAAGTGTTCTGGTATGCATTCTTTCTAGTGAAGTGTTAATACACCACATCTTATTTATTTTAGCAAATCAGTATATTTTCTGTATTTAATTATAGAAAGTTAACTTAGTTTTTTGAAATTTATTTGCAAATAAAGTTTTTCCATTTGGCACTATGGTTTGTTGCCTACCTAGCTGAATATTATAATGTCAGCTTGTTCTGAGGCTGTCCACGTACTCAATTTACTTAAGTGTTCATTTTAAGTAAAGCGCTCACTGTGTATAGGAATTTGTATTTTGGAGGTGCTTGATCTATCTACAAAGAAAAATTAGGAATTACTTTATTATAAAATGCTCCTAGAAGTCTTAATTGTGTTTATTTTTTAAAAAAATTATAATGTTAGACTTGTGTGCATGGACGTAATTAAGGTACATCATTATTGTAGGTTAAAAGTTGTATATGGTAAGACATATTTTGTTTTTACTGTATGTTTTTACTGAATGATCTATTCCCCATCCCAAAGCAAGCATGAATAAAATTAGGTTAAATATAGCATGTGGCATCTCAGTCTCTTGAAAATTCATTTCACCTATTTTATTTTATTGAATACTGTCTGTATCTTTGGTTAACCTGTTTAAAGAAAAGGATGAATAAAACATGGCCATCAAAAAATGGTTCCTGTTTCACTACTTAAGACAAGTGATTGACTGTTGCAGTGAAATGTATAGCAGAATCTGTTTCAACTTACTTACAGGGCCAAAATTTTGAACTGATGATTTTAAATTCTTTTGATATGAAAGATTTAAAGGAAAAAATGGTCTTACCTCAAGCAGAAGTCACATGTTGACTTAAGTCAATTTGCCTTGTCACTTAAAAAATTGAGGAACATTATTAGGGTTTATTGAAATGTGTAATTTAAACCAGATCTCAAATGTACATATTACATAAAGCATACATATAAAACTCTTATAGATTGCACCTTCTCCATAACTGACAGTGGAGTTGCTGTGCCTGAAAAGTTCATAACTTTGCAGACCAATTCTGGTGACAAGCCTCCCCAGATTTGTCTGTGCTGGTCCTCTTATCAAACTGGGCCCACACTCTTAAGCCTTTTCAGCTTTGTATAGGACTTGACTGAAATTGTGTTCTGATCTAGCCAGAACCCAAAAGCATCTCGATGCCATGATGAAGCACCAGTTGTAGGATTGCAGTAAAGCACTATTAAAAAAAAAATTCAGCCATGAGAATATCCAGATATTTAGGCTTCAAATGGTGCTCTTTTGAGTTGTTAATATAGTGGATTATATCTTATTGATAAACTGTAGCATGATGCAATAGAAAGCACTGTATTTGGTGTTAAGGCACTTGGGTTTAAATCTCAGCTTTGCTGCTTACCCTCCTGAAAGACCTTAGGTGAATCTTTGTCTGGGCCTCAGTCTTCTGACTTGTACAATGGGAATGAATCATACCTGTTATGGGTCTTTCCAGTTGTGTCTGATCTTATGATCCCATTTACTTCTTCCTAATTTCTTTATTACCGTGAGCAATACCATCATTCTTATTTCCCACATTTGCTCACTAAGACCTCTATACTTGTCTCTTGCACCTTTCCATCTATACTATATCACTGACTGATCTTATCAGCTCTCATGGATTCAGTTATCTCTATGCTGATGATTCTCAGATCTCCTTATTCAGCCCTAAACTCACCTAATTTCCAAACACATCTCCAACTGCTTATTGGATATCTTAAACTGGATGAACGGTAGGTATCTTAAACTCAACATGGCCAAAACCTTCCAAACTTCTCTATTACTGTGGAAAACATTACCATCCTCCCCATCCCCCAGGCTTCCAACCTAGGTGTTACCTTCAATTCCTCACTCACCTCCTCTGTCCAATTTGTTACCAAGTTCTATTGATTTTACCTTTGCAGTGTTTGTCTTATATACTTTTTCTCTTCTGACACTGCTAATGCTCTGGTATAGGCCCTCATCACCTCACACCAGGATTATTACAGTAACCTTCTGGTTGGTCTCCCCACTTTAAGTCTCTTCCCCACTCCAATCTATCTTCTATTCAGCTGTCAAATTAATATTCCTAAAGTACAGGTCTCACCTGGTTACCCACCCCTCCATTCAGTAAATTCCACTACCTATCATCTTCCAAGATCAAATGTAAAGACCTTTTTGTTTTGGCATTCAGAGTGCTTCATAACCTGGCTCCCCTCTACCTTTCCAGTCTTTTTATTTCTCATTCCTATATACTCTGTGACCTAGGGACACTGGCCTCCTCACTGTTTAATGACACTTCCAATCTCTCCCTGGCATTTTCACTGGCTGTTGACTGTGTCTGGAATTCTCTCTTTCCTCATCTGCCTCCTGGCCTCCTTCAAAACCCCGCCTACAAGAAACTTTTCCCAATGCTAGTGCTTTCCTCTGTTGATGATTTCTAATTTGTGTTGATGATCTCATTTGTTTAATCTCTAATTTATCTGTATATATCTTGGTTGTACATAGTTATTTTCATGTTCTCTTCCATTAGACTGAGTTCCTTGAGAGTCAGAATTGTCTTTTGACTTTATAGTCCTAGCACTTAGCACAGTGCCTGGCACATAGTAGATGCTTAATAAATGTTGACTATGTCTCTTGATTAACCATTTTCTCCCTTTTTGAATAACAATCACCTTTGCCAAAGATCTTATAAACTTTTTTGGCTCATGACTCATGACAAATACAGGTAAAGCCTATGGACTCTTCTTAAAATAGTGGTTTTAAATGCATAAAATACATAGGATTATAAGGAAATCAGTGATATTAAATACACATCAAAATATTAAAGATTCTTAGTTTGTAGATCTCCTGAAATCTATCCATGAATCTTTTGTGGGCCTGGGGACCCCAGGTTAAGAACCACTGTTATAGATTGTTCTTGTAATCTGTCCCCATTCTAATTTAACCCATCTACACACAGCTGCCAGAAAAATCTTCCTCAAACATTATTGCCTGTTGCCTCTGTATTGCCTAATCAAATGAAAAAACCCTTTATACTTCTCTACTAATGTTCCACCATTCATGGCACTTCTATGCCGGTTCTGTTGAATGTACCTGATAACCTGGCTTGCTAATTCTTAGATGTGTTCCTTACCTTGGAGAAATGGTCAAGTGATATTTCACAAGACTTCCACCCCCAGATCTAGGGTTAAGCTCTTCTAGCTTCACTAAATTCCTAGAGAAGACCTTTTCTTCTTAGGGTCCCAGGTCCCTTTGGCTTTAAGTTAAATCTACCGCCTTGGCCTGCAGCTCCCTACATGGTAGTATGAGTGAGACTGTGCCCATAGGAAATTTCTTAGCTTTTGTCATGCTTGGGTAAGTCTACCACTTACTCAGTTTTCCTGTACTATACCTTTCATCTTAGCCTAGAATGTGTTAATATGTGCTGGCACCTAATTCCTCTAAGTGCTTTCCTGCTTATTTCCTCTACTTGTTCTTAAGACATGATGGCTTTTTTTGGCAGCTCCTTCATTCTGAATATCATCATGCATTCACTCTGCTTTCCACTGTCTATTCATAAATTTTGTATTACTAAAAAAAAATTCAATCATCTCTTCACAAATTAGTCGTCTGTTATCATCACCCATCCTAATTATCCTAGTCAGTAGGTCCCATTCAACTAGCTTGACCACCATATCTTCTTAGGTAATCACTAAGTTAAGTACAAATATATGCATGTTAAAGACAGCCACTGTATGACACTGGGAGGTCCATAATACATTTATGATGCTTAAGATCTCATTTAGATTTCCACCTTCAGGTTTTGCTATTGTTTTGGAAAGAGGAATATTTTTGCGTAAAACTGATGTAGGCCCTATGTTAGAGATGTATCTGGCATGAAGGACCAGAGTCGTTTTCGGGGATGCCTTAGCAATAAAGTCCCCAGAGCAAAGCCCAACAACCTCTTGGTTATTTTGTTAGCTTGAGG